CAGGAAAGAAAGGATGAAATCATTAAGCGGGAGAAGAGCCACTCAGAAAATTAATTCGGAAAATTAAAAAATAGCAGCGATACGTTCCGACAGCCCTGTACAGGCATTGCTTTMTGACAGTTTCTGGGAATTTGACTGGCAGAAAAAATAGCATGTTCTGCAAATCTGAAAGAGGAAAGAGGGGGCAAAAAAATCAAAGACGTTTCGTATAAAAGGTAAAACTTCACTGGAATTATCAGCAAAGCAAAGAAAATGGCACTATTAGATTTCTCACAGTAACTACTCTGCTCGGAGCCATTGTATTTGGTTTCAATCTATACCGGCAGGAGGCTGTCGGATACCTTTCTTCTCTGGTAATGGCTTTCTTTTCCAAGCTGACTTGTCACCTCTAACAAGAAGTGCACCTTAAGGGATTTCACTGGTCATAAAGAGTGGTTGTAGTAGCCTGGCCAAAGACTGTCACTCAKTTCCAGAGAAAGGACTATTTTTTTTTCTTTTCCTTTTTTYCCCCCCCATGACAGCACAATCGGCCGTGGCACAAAGTTGAGATGCTGAAATGACAGCCCTTAGGTATTAGCCGCCCTGAGGGGTAGGTGGGAAGCTGTTGGAGAGACAAAAATTTGAGAGAGGAATAGAAGTGTTGTGGTCAGAAGTGAAGAACCACCTGGTTGTTGGTGAGAGACCATATTTTATTAGTCAGAAACCAAGTTTTGTGTTTCTGCTGAATTCTCTGGTGTCTGTCTGAACATTAGCACTTGATCTTGTATAAATTGATTTTAAAGGGAACTCTGACTAGTTGTAACATTAGATATTATTTCATAAGCATTTACTTTAACTATAAAAACAAAAATAATAATAAAAAAATTGCAACATGTCACATAAATGCTGCCATGCTTTTTAAAGCATTCTGGGTAATTGATGCTCCGATGCAAGCTCTATCTCAGGGGTGCCCAAACATTTTTCCCGAGAGGGCCAAATCTATCCACGGCTGTGGGCCAAATGCAGTAATATAATACATGAAATACAAATACTTAAGTAAAATCCTTTATTTTTACCGATTAAGCTAGCAGCCAGTGCAATGGCCCTCTTTTGTTTTAGTCTGTGCACTTGGAGAAAGTCTGCCATACGCTCAAGTAGCAAAGGCTCATGGGACATTTCATAAATCGATAAAATATGAGTTTTTGTGGCTTTATAAAGTGTGCAAATCTACACGTGGGGTTAAATCTGATCTAAATATCTCTTGTTATTACTTCATGTTTCCTGTTTAATCTTAATTTATCAAAGATAAAGTCAGCACCATGAATGAAAACTACCTTCAGCCCTTTATATAGTCATTTGACCAATGGAAATCCTGTGTTTCTACATAGGACGACAGGTTAAAACCTTGTAACTTTGGCAACTGTTGGTGGGCCAAATCAAATGACTTGGTGGGACAAATTTGGCCCTCGGGCCCCACTTTGGGCTCCTCTGCTCTATCTTGACCACTAATTTCGGACAATATTCAACATTCAGCCTTTTTAAATGAAACTGGATGCKTTGACAGAGAGAAGAATGTAGTAAGGACTTAGCCTGACACTGGAAATGCACATGGTATCAAGTTTGGCTTAAATTTGTACCAGTTAAACTGACAGGAGTTTAAACACCAGAGGTAAAAAAAAAAAAAAGTAAAGTCTTTATTAGGTTGGGGTCCATGGTTAATGGGATCAGGGTTACTGGTTAACTGGTTGTGATGTCAGGGATAATAGAAGCTAAGTTTAGGGTTTGGGACGGTTAATTGCGGTGCATTTTTTACACTTTTCAAAAATATGTCAACGKACTCCTCCTCATTGTTCTGATCTCATCAATAACTGACACGAGAGGGTTACCCGACACATCAAACCGGATGCAGAGGGAACCTGGAAAAGCGTCGATATGTAACGAGTTGGGAGTGAGAATGGGTTGATATGGCAATACCTCCRTGCACAGTTAATTTACTAAACATCCCTGTCACTTATATTTGACTCCACCCATATACTGTGCAGAACATAGAAACTAATCCAAAATACTACTTTATTGTCACACTTTATAGTTTTTTTTAACCTTGACTCTTTGTGTTTTAATCTCAACTATAACCCCAAAATGCATTGCATCAGTAACAAAATGGTCAACATGTGCAAGAAGTCTGAGATCCTTTTGAAAAATGCGACGAAAGCATCACTTCAGCACATGTTTTTATTCGTCTCATTTTCACATTTTGTTAAATCCATGTGCATTACTACCTCTCAGGTTACGGAAAATGAGAATTTGTTCTCACCTGACTAACCTGGTTAAATTAATTAAGTTAAAAAAATGTTTTTTCCAGACAAGCATATAAAATGTGTGCTGAAGTCTGTCAGGTATTCACATAGGATTTGGATGTCACATCATGACAAAAAAGGAAACGGTTGATAGTGTATCATTATCATCACAACATCTCATGACATAGAATTAAAAGCCACAGAGGCGAACCGATTCAACCCCAGATTACACATCTCTGCTTCCCGAGAATGAGACAAAGCTTTTCTCTGGCAACTGGGTCATTTTTATAACAAGTTTAAAAGTTACACACACTAATTAACTGTGAACAAGTCTGGTTATGATCACAGAAAAGAGAGCAACTGCTTTTCTTTTCGTTTTTCTCTCCCCTCACTCTCTACAGATACAACAGAAATTTGTTGCTATAGCCTCCAGTGAGGTTTGTGTGGGTGAAACGATCTAATGAAAGGACAAACTTGTTTTTGTATTAAATGCAGTTTTTTTTCTGTTGCCTCCAAGAAAAAAAACGGGAGAATGGCTAAAAAAAGAAGTCACACAGTTTGAAAGACAATAAAGACGATATGCAGTTTGTGTGAATGTGTCATCCTGTGTGCTTACATGTAAAGATGAAAAAGAAAACAACAATAATATATTTGCAATTCAAAAAGATTCATTTAAAATAAATGGAGATGTAAAGGGAGCTCAGACTCGTTGCTGGTCTTTAATTTTTTTTTTTTTGTCTTTTCTACTAAAAAGTGTTGTTTGTGAAAACATCTAATTACTTTACAAATTGTGTATGTTAATTACATGTTTCACTGAGGCACGTCTCCATTTTGTAACCGTCGTAACACATTCTGGGGATGAATGATGATGGGTTACAGTTGAGACTAAAACACAAAAAGTCAAAGGCCACAATGTGTAACAATAAATGTATGTATTGTGATATTTTCTATGTTCTGCACATTATGATACAATCATACGGGATATTTAGTAACTTAGCTTTGGAGCTAATGCCATATAAATGAACTCAGAAGCTAACAGTATATATATTTACTAATACTGTACTGTATATGTAGTTGCTCCCATGCTTATATTATCAGCTCGGCAGCTAAAACACTATAAATTAGCTTGGAAGCTATATATATATATATATATATATATATATATATAAACGTATATTGCTCTGTTGTCCTTCATGCAGCTGCATCACCTTCTGCAAACTTCTGAGTGGTGTGGGTGAAGTCTCTCTCACACAGCTGTTCCTGATCCCTGATGATGAGTTCCTGGTGTATTTAAGCTCATGAAAGAGAACCATTCCTTGCTGGAACATTCTATAATATTGGTAAAGTCTGCAGCCCTCTGAGTTTGTTCTATAAGAATTCTTGAGTAATCTTTGCCTTCCCTGTTCATCTTAAACGACCTGTTGAGGAACCCATCCTTGCCCAGGACTCCCTACCACAGGTAATCTTTTGACCTTTGGCCTCTCTTCTCACCTGCCCACTCTCTACCACCACACCACTATGACAATCTTGCCTTCTCTGCATTCCATGCCTCTGACCCTCCCTCCAACTAGTGATACAGGTAACCTCCCCTTCTATGCCATCATCCTCACTTCCATCTGTAATTCACAAGCTCCTTTCAAAGAAATACATACTAACTGGACCTTTTCTGCACGATGGCACTATATATTAAACCACCAATCCATTACCCTATGTGGTGCGTCAATCACTGTTCACAGTTACAAAGACAATATCACTATTACCAGTGGTGGGCCAGCACTAATCTAAAACTTACTGTAGCTGCACTAACCCTAAAGCACTAAATCCAATATTTAGGTCCCCTAATTCTAAAGCACTAATGCACTGAAACATTTAGCAAAAGCTAATTCTAAAGCACTAAAATGTACCCATGAAACATTTTCCAGAGTCAACATGAGGCAAAATTTACTGTGTGCAGAATATTGTCAATAATCAATGCCAGTATTTTACCTATAAGTGACACATGTGAACAAAATGTGTGACAGCTTTCACCCTCAGCTGTTAAAAATGCTGATCAATAACATTTTAAGACCTCAGTTAGTGCTTCTAAATTTAGCCCACACATTTAGCAAGTGCTAATCCACTAATGAATTTATAAAAAAAAGCAAAAGCCCTAAAGCACTAATCAGGAAATTAGTTCCCTTATAAGTGCTTTAGTGCTTTAGGGGAACTGTGCCCACCACTGATTTTATACCCACACAGGTGTGGGACAGGTGTGCTGTCAGACTGCTGGCATGACAAGTGCTTTGTCAACCGGTGTGGGCCAGGCCTGGCAAAGATGGTGCTGTTTTTAAGCTGGTGTGCCAAAGGTGGCCCAGTTGTGGTTTGGTTTATGTTGTGTTGACCCATGCATGGACCACCTCTGGCAAACCACGCCTGGACCACCAAGGGCCGTCATTCTTTGCTRTATCTGGGCCAAGTGTTAGTGATTAGTACATTATGTGGGCCAGAACTGGGTCAGACAAATATGTGAGTAGTGTATCATTTTTTTTGGCTCACATTGTGTGCCTCTGCAACAACCATTATTACCAGGAGTATGAAAAGCTGGTAAATGTAAACATTTAAAGCGTTAGGTTAGATTCTGTGCAGTAATTACCTGAAATAATCACTGCTTCGACATACATCCTCACGTGTTCCCTCATTAGAAGTAATAGGTTGTGTTTAGAGCTGTGTGTTGAGCAGAGTTTCCACTTGAGAGACCCTGTTTTTTTAATATGAACATTTTCAACRTTTTTAAATGTTTTCATTATTTTTATTTTATTTTATTTGTTGAAGTCATGTACACTGGCGTAAACGTTCGAACAACGTGTGCCTGCATGAAAGTGTGTGCATGCTTAATGTTGTTTTCTGCTCGACTGGCCGGCTGGCTGCGCCGGTGYGCTCCTCCTGTTCAGGTTTGCACATGACCCCGGCTCCTTGGGGAGGTCCGAGTCTTTCACGGCGGCCTCCTGTTCGCTTCTGCCTCGAATCTGGGTCAAAGGATAAAAGAATCGCCCCCATTCGCCACGACTCTAACGCAGAACGACGCACGCCGGCCGCCCTGAAAAATGGCTTCCTGGAAATTCAGCGTTGTGAAGGACACTGCTGAGAATTAACGCAGCAGACTCATTGTCCTAAATCTGGACTGTTGTCTGYTAACAAGGGTTATTCACAGCACAGGTTACTCATCCAGCCCTCCCATGACTAACATCACAACTCGGTTTGTTGCAGTTCAGCTCACRGTTAATGTTATACAGAACAAGGAGGAAAGGAGCTGTTTGACAAGTTGGCAGCAATTCTGGCGCCTCTTTGTCCATTTCTTTCTGAAAGTCTGCCTTCCTCCGTCTCTTGGTGACTTTCACTCTCTCCAGCCTTCAAGTAAGCCCCTCCAACAATGCTGATGCTCTGGACCAGATTCAGCCCACAGAGGAGGAAGGAGTCATGCTGGGGAATTAGTGTGTGACAGTGTGTGTGTGCAAGGATTCACGGATGTGTGAGTGGCAGCTACAGAAAATAAAAAAAATAAAAAAACTACTTTGGCCAAAAGAACATAGTGAGCATTCACAGTCCTCTATATTTCTGAGAAGTGGTTATCATGGAGGTCTTTTCTCTCTCTCTCTCTCGTGACGAACAGACTGAGGACGCAGAGGATTGTTCCTGCTCTGGGATTGTCTGCCCTTCCTGTAACATTAACCACTGTGATCCTCAGGCTTGGACCGAGACAGTGAAGGTGATATAAAGAATTGTTTTGGTCTTTTGAAGTGGTGCTTTACTAGAGGTGCTAATGACATGAAATTTTCACCAGATGTTGGTAACAACCAAAG